AATATTTATTTTTTTCTGAGGATTCTGGCATTAATCTTATTGTTTTTCTTTCCTTATATTTTTAATTGATATTCATTATAAAATTTTGACATGCCTTACTGTTGTTAACAAATTAGATAATTTAATTTTATGATTTCTTGTCCATATTTTTATTCATCATTGTATTAAAACAATCATAATCTTATTTTATAGGGTAGAATATAATATATTTATTAATATTTCACTGTCCGACAATATGTATTGCCCTTTAGACAGGACACTGTATACTTTGGTGTAAAAATATTAATATTTGTGTAGTTTCGATTTGTTGATTATTCCAGATTAAAATGAGGTCAACGAATATTATACCTCTTAATTATGGTACAACAGATTTGAAAACAAATGTTAATAATACAATACCTTGTACTTTAAATTTTAGAAGGGGAAGAAGTGATGATGAACCAGTACGAAATCAAAGTATACAAGCACAAGATCAGAGTCTTAATAGTCAAAGACCAATCAGAAATATAATATTGCCTAAAAAATTCGAAAATTTCATAATGAATATAAAAAAAGATTAAGAAAGATATATTATAAATAATAAAATATTTTTCTTTTAAATAAATTTTAATAGCTTTTACTATCAAGATTTTTTTTGTGGATCAAAACTAATGAATTATACTAGTGATGACTAATGATAACTATCAAGATCAACAAAGGACAAACGAACAATAAATGATGAAGAAACCGGTAAGCAAGACAAACTATAAGTCGTTAGACAGAGGGCGAAAACTTAAAAAAAAGAAGAGTGAAATGTTAAATAGTTGTTATTTTTTTATTATCTGTTTTGTTTTGGTAATGACATTCAAAATTTAAATTGTTTTTCTTTTTTTTTAACTACACTAATTCTAATTGTGAATGACATTATATTAGTTACAAATTTTATTATATAAAGATCGAATTTCATTTTATATTTTCAGTGAAAAATTAAATTGATTCGTTAATAAAACAAAAAAATAATTCTCGTAATTTCGCACTCTCTGAAGTCAACATGGTGAGCGATGGCTCACTTCGGCTGTGTCTTGACTTCAAAAATATTAAAACCCTGCTTTAGTAGAATTTAAGCACCCAATACCTCGCATCAATGACTTGATTGCAGAATTGTCTAAAGGTAAGAAATTTACAAAGATTGGTTTTAAAAACGCATTTCTTCAACTACCTATACACAAAGAAACTCTAGATTTTCTCGCAATATCAACACACAAGGGCTATTAAAGGTTTACAAGGCTTCCGTTGGGTTAAAGACTTCGTCAGCAATATTCTAACAAATATGAACAATATATTCAGGGATATGAAAGGTGTTATATTTTACATCGACATATTGTTGATTACTGGGCGACGATGAAGTTCATTTGAATAACATAAAAATGGTATTTGACAAGATGTCAAAATATGGGATTATTTTTAAAGAAAAAACTTCGGTTCTTGGGGCACGATATAGACGACAAAAGTATACATCCGAATGCAGATAAGATTAAAGCTATTTCAAACATGCTGGAACCTAAGACAAAAGAGGAATTGGCAACTTTTTTGGGATGGCGAGCTATTATCGAAAATTTCTATGTAATTTTGCGGACATAGCTGATCCCTATACAAAATAGTTAGTAAAGAAATTGGTTATGGTAAAGTACACATCATGAAAGCTTCAATGACCTGAAAAAGCTGATAAGTACTCCGTCTACGTAAAATTTTTATAACCCGAATTTACCAGTAGGCATTGCAACTGATGCTTCAAAGAAAGATCTAGGCGCAGTCTTATTTCATTTGAGGGTAATGGTAAAGAGAAACCCATTACTTTCGCGTCAGAGCATTATTAAAATTAGAGTTAAACTCTACAAATATTGAAAGAGAAGCTTTATCTGTTATATACTCGGTAAAAAAGTTTCAAGAATATTTAATTGGTACGAGATTTACAATAATCACAGACCACAAGCTACTCCTTTATATATTTATTAAGGGACTCAAGGACAATTCTTCCATATCAATGCGACTCCAAAAATAGAGTTTGGCTATGGGAGCTCATGACTTTACGATAATTCACAGACCCGGGAAACGAAATGTAGTACCAGATTATTTGTCAAGATTACCACAAATGAACACAGAAGAGATGGTACAAAAGATAGATAGTGAAATAATATTGATGACAAATTATGGGACATACCAATAAATTTTAAAATAATAGTTAAAGAAACTAATATTTATAAAGAATTAATGGAAGTAATTAACAATATAAAGAATCATGAACAGATAAAAATATGGAATTGGAACTGAGCTTAATTAAAGATTGTCTTTTTAAAGAAAATAGGATAATAATGCCACAAAATAAGAGAAAGGAGATGTTGCAAGAGTTGCATAAAGGGTATCTAGGTGCTGGGAAAAAGAAATCATTAGCCTGGATTATTTATGGTGGCCTGGTTTATATGCAGAAATAGGTCGGGAGGTTAAAAATTGTGATGCATGTAATAAATATACAGACAATCCTCATAATATACAAAACCCACGGGAAACAACAACAAAAGTATTCGACGCGTGCAACTTTGCGCAATTTGAAGATAGCAATTTTATGGTGTGTTGACGCATTTAGCAAATTCCCTATTATTAGAAGAATGAGAAACATAACGACTCAGTCAACAATTAAAGAATTGATAAAAATAATCCGCTTATTTGGTATACCTGAAAAAATAGTCAGTGATAATGGAACTAACTTTACTAGTAACTTATTCAAAAAATTTTGCGAAGATCATAGAATTGAACACACACTCACCGCACCTCACCACCAACAGTCCAATGGTCAGTGTGAGCGAATGATAAGATCAATGAAAATGAGCATGAAAAGGAATTTGTAAAGTAATAATAAAATAGACTTAGATTTAGCTTTAGAAAAGTTCTTATTTAATTATCGTAACACGCCAAACGCAACAACCAACAAGATACCAAGCGAAGTGATGTTTTCCAGAACTATAAGAACCAGATGGGATTTAATTAAACCACAGGAAGATAGTGAATGAATTTAATTCAAATATATCGTCAAATAGGAATGTCGTGATGGACAAAGTTTGGTATAAAACTTTAAAGGAAAACATTTGGGACAAAAGTCTGTAACACGTAAAGATGGGAATTTATCATATGAAATATATACTGGAAACAAAATTATAAAAAGACATTTAGACCAGATTAAAAAAAAGGTCAACGAATATTATACCTCTTAATAATGGTACAACAGATTTGAAAACAAATCCAATACCTTATACTTTAAATTTTACAAGGAAAAGAAGTGATGATAAACCAGTACGAAATCAAAGCAATTTTATATTATCAGTGAAAAATTAAATTCATTCGTTAATAAAACAAAAAAATAATAATTCTCTTAATTTCCCACTCTCAGAAATCAACAATTTGTTTTAAAAGTCTTTTCTATAATGATTTCTCATTTGGTTTTAATATTATATTTATAAATGATTTCATAAGAATATTTTATTATAGTCATCAAAATATCATTGGCTTACTAGTGTTTTAGATATTTAAAAAAAAACTTCTAAACAATTTAGAATATTTTCACTTAGTTCCTTTGGAGGAAACCAAAGAATTTGATGTCATTTATTTGTAATTTATTTTTCAGCTCGTTGAAATAATCAACATGTCATATATATTTGTTATTTCTTTATATATTTCTGTTGATTGGTTTATACATTTTACCACGTTCACTCTTAGTTCAGTACAGAAAATTCCTTTATAGCAGTTGGATTGGAAAAGGTTCATATTGTTTTTTATGAACTAAGTAGAGTATTTTGACCTCCTTACCAATTTTATGGCTTATTATGCCGAAAGAATAGATAATTTCTTTCATAAAAACATTTTATAGATATGATAGTTTTATTTAGAAAAAGATGCAAGATCTTATATCTTATATTTTTTTAAATAATTATAATATGACATCATTTTATAAGGAATCTCTATAAGTCTAGATTATTTTTTTAAGGACGATAATAATATAAGATTGTGAAGTAATGCAATAGTTTTTAATATGGATTAAATATGTGTTACTAAATTATGATGTATAATCTTTAAAATTTAAATTAATTTTTTTTAATAGATGTTATATAATAAATTTAAGCTAGAAATGTTATGTTTAAATATTTGTTTAAGTTTTATATGCAACGTGAACGCGTGTAATCGAGAGATTAGCTATTATTTCGTTCCAATTTTTCTGCGAATATTTTTGCATTACTATTGTCAATGTGAATGCAGCCTAATAATTTTTTAGTTTGAAAGCGAATATTTTATCTGGAAATATTCATTTTTAAGTCCAAATTGATTACATGAGATTATAAAGATAGGTTAAAAAACGATTTATCTTTAATTTTTTAATAATGTTTATTATGATTCTTGAGTTTAAAATTAATTTAAAATATATAATAGACTAAGGTCTAAATTGATTAAATTATTTTATACTCCTATCTTAAAGAGTCAAGGACCCGGGTTTGAAGGGTATTTTGATCAATGGATTCATTTAATACGTCTCAATTTATGTTGAAAATAATTCTGGCCTGGAAATAGAATTACTACCGTTTTTATGCCCCGTTCCCTAAATTTAGACATTCTAGATGTGTAATAAATTAAAGATTTTGTTTGAATCAGGCTTGAGTTATCATAATTTTTAATTATATATTTTATAGAGACTTTGCTAAACATTTTCAGGAAGAGGATTATAGTCAGAATTCAAGCTGGAGGCTCTAGTAGAAAGATAACCCCTAGTACAACAAGAAATTTTTAGCTAATTATGATTTAAGAGTGTATGCTTATAGGGTCAGAAATAAAGCAAATATAATATAGATATATTTATATTATGATAAAATATTAATTATTATAAAAATTGTAAATGTTTGTATATATTCCTTAATGTATTAATTCAGAATATAAAGTTTACATTTTATATTAAATTATTTCTTATCCTTTTTCAGACCAAATTGAAATTGAAAGAAGGTAGCAACGATGTAACATTTTCAGTGACTACTCAATTCCAAGGCACTACCAGATGCGCCTCACATATTTTCCTATGGAATTTCGATGATAAACTAGTCATTTCCGATATTGATGGGACAATAACCAAGTTTTTTTTCCAATTTAATTTTATACAAACTTGCTATTATAGTAAATATCTCATCCAAAACGCTGAGATATTCGTAATTACATTTCTTTTATCAAATGTTTCGAATTCAACGAATATATTGAATATTAAATACCTTCTTTTATTCAAATTAATAGGTCAGATGTATTAGGCCACATATTCCCTTTCCTTGGCAAGGACTGGTCTCAATATGGTGTAGCTGAACTCTATTCCCGCATAAGCAAGAATGGATACAAATTCGTTTACCTTTCTTCACGAGCTATCGGGCAAGCACCTGGAACTAGGGGATACCTCAACAGCTTCAAACAAAACAATATGCCTCTACCACAAGGTCCTATCTTGCTCAACCCAAACTCGCTCCTCTCGGCTTTTCATAAGTATTAAAAAATACAATAATCTCAGCTTACTGCAATAAATTTTATCTATCGGCTGCATTCAAAGTGGAGACGGATCCGTTTTTTACATCCATTCCATCAAAAGTCAAACTCATTAAAAATGATATATATGTTCATAGTGAGTCCGTTCCAATACCTTCCGTCTTAAAAACGGATCCGGCAAATTTTGAAGTCAAAACATTTTTACTTTTTGATCCGGCAAATTTTATAGAGCGTTATAACGTTACTTGTAATTTTAAAAATGAAAATCAAAATATATATCATAAGGATGTAAAAAACGGACCCGTCTCCATTTTGAACGCAGCTTAATAGAGGGGTATTACGTTTTATATAAATATTTTTTAATTCATTATAATTATCGAAATATATTTGATATAATATGATTTATTACAAAAATATTTGTCTTATATATTTTCTTTTTGATATTCTATTTGATTGACTCCAAATAATTTCTAAATCATTGGAACTTTTTTGGTGTGATATAGATATATTGTGTTTGGAATATGTTTCTTTATAAAATTAATCAATTAATTTTTTATTTCTCTATTTTAATCATGAATAATAGAAACAATAATATTATCATTTTAAACATTGAAAATCTTCAATAAAGTTATTTAGAATTATATCATTAATTTTTATCAAATTATAAACCTTTTATTAATGCCAAATATTAAGGAATCTACAAGAGTTTGGCAAAATGAAATCTGAAAAATCATTTATTTTTGAAATGAGTCTAAATATTTGTAGTTAAAATCCCCATATCCATATGAATCTCGCCTTCAGGATTTTTGCCAAAGGCTCAATACGTGAAATTTTCGAGATATTTGCTAGGGATCCAAACCTTAACGAATATCGGTTAGATTCAGGTTTTTGTTCAGACAAAAATAAAGGTTCAGGTTCGGTTCATAAGAAATAATAATATCGGATTGGTTTGAACCTTTAAAACCCGGTTTGATCTTTTTCACATACGACCTTATTAGAATTATGTAAATTAAAGCACATCTTTTAAAATAGTCCCTATTTTATTTTCCTAAAAAAATTATATTAAACCATAAAAAATTTTCAATATTCTTTTCCGTCAAATTATATTTATAAAGATGAATAAATTCTATGGTGAGAACACTTCTATACGCTAACCTAGCTGATTATAAGATCAAATAGCAATATACAAAAATATTTGAATATACTTACTGATATTATCAAACAAAATAGATTATTTGTATTTTTTATATGTTAGGATATCAAAAGGTGCCGAAATCACCAGCAATATAAAATTTGCAATCTAATTTTTGGATAGTTTAAATTTTTAAAAGGGGGTATATCATTGAATTATTTTCCTGTCATACCCTTCCTTTGTCTTCTGGCTTTTTCCTTTAAAATTTAAAAGTATAACTATGCCATGGATTCATATTATGAATTCCATCATGTGATATTTGGATATATCAGATATCTTCCCAATTTTTTAATTATATTATCGGCCATACTTATTAATATATTTTGTTTATTCCACAAAGACTGACACTTTTGAAATAAGCTTTGGGATATTATTTTAAAGCTTTCTCCGCATCATCTGAGACCTCTAATTTAATATTGTGGCAGGCACATCTTGAATGCTGTGGTAGAAAATCATAACTTTCTATTCTGTTAGTCAGGATATCATTGATATCCACATCTTAAAAGTCTTCATCCATTTCAGAACTTTTATCAACAAACATTCTAAAAAAATGTTAAAATAATTAATTTAGAATTAGCTGGACTTAACAAGGTTTAGAACCATTATCAGTAATCGTTTTTATTAGAAATTTAAAATTTTTATGTATATCAATTATAATCTTGGCCAAAACATCAAACGTATGCATATCTTAAACACGTTTTAAGGCTAAGTCTGCAGACTTTCGTTGCAATTATTTCGAGTGATCCAATGAGCTATTACACCTAAGAAAGTTGTTAAGATCCACCTCTTTTAGAAGAGAAAAATATTTATAGTAGGATGGAAATGGAAATTTTATTTCATCCAATTCAGTATCTTCTACATCTGATAACAACAATTATATCGTCTTCCATGTTTTATGATTTGAAAAAGAGAAAAAATAAAATATAAATAACAAATTTTTTTTTTATGGTCATGGATTACTTTATTTGAATATTTACTGATATAATTGGCTCAACATTTGACATATAAATAGTTTCATAAATTTATATAAATATATATTATTTTTATTGTATTCATTCAACAAAATACATTTAATATTAAGTTTATTTTCATCCTTTTCGGATACCAACCTTTTACAAACTAGATTAATAAAATTAAAATTCGATTTAAAATTTAATTTCGAAAATTTAATTTATATCAAAAATTTAATTTACAAGAATTTCAGTAAAAAACTGCATGTTCATATAACTCTCCCTATCAATTTACTTTGTAATTAAGATCTTTGTTATTAATCAACTCCCTCCTTAACACTATTTATCAAAGGGGGAGTTAATCTATCGTAGTGATATCTTAACTCCCAGATATGTGATAAGGGGAGTTATGGTATCACTTTACAAAACTGCATGATTATATAACTCTCCCTATCAATTTACATTATAATTGAGATCTTTGTTATTAATCAACTCCCTCCTTAACACTATTTATCAAAGAGGGAGTTAATCTATCATAGTGATATCTTAACTCCAAGATATGTGAAAAGGGGAGTGAATGTATCACTCTACACCCGCCCGGGTATTTAAGAAATAAATTTTTAGGCTCGGGCAATATTTTAGACCTGTCTAGGGTTAGAAAAACCCATCTTGTACTTTATTCACACACTGCTTTGCGCAGATATGAAACCTTTCACTCTCACTTATTTGTTTTCTTACTATATGTTTTAATTTGCCCTAATCCTTTTTTCTCATTTTTATTAAAAACAAACTCAGGGAAGTCATCGAAAAGAAGCCAGAAGAATTTAAAATAAGCTGCTTGAAGGATATACGTGCTCTGTTCCCCACCCAATTCTCACCATTTTATGCCGGCTTCGGCAATCGGATAACAGACGTTTACGCTTACCGTGCTGTGGATATTCCCATATCCCGAATATTCACCATCAATTATAAAGGAGAGATCAGCGTCGATTTAACCAAAACATTTTTGACTTCTTACGCCAAGTTGCAGGATTTGGCTGATCAGGTTGTTATATTTATTTTTATAATTATTTTGTTTATTTTTTAGGTTGCATTCATTTATATTTTATTTTTTATCACCAAATAAAACGATTTAGAAACAGCGTTTTTTATTTCTAATTTTTTTAAAATATAATGATTAAATTTTCCTCACTGCTATTTTGAAATTTATTAAAGTAATCTTATACAAAAAAGGGAACTTATGATTATTGATAAAATGTCATAATATTAAAATTAAAAACTCTCATTAAAAACTGGCGACGTATAAGGTATATCTGGTATTTCCATATAAAATAAAGCATATTTTAGTAAATTTTTCATAAATTGGCAAATTTCACCAACCGCCTTATAATACGCGATTTTCATAAAACATTAATGGTGCTATTAAATAAATTTTAATTCTTCATTCATTAAATAAAATACCATCGTAATTCCCAAATTATTAAAATCTATGTTTATTTTGATTACTTCATCTATTTAAATTCTGATAACTTATACTAAAACCTTTTTACTTGAAAATCCAATTATTTTTTAGTTTTATTAATAAATGGATACGGCATAATATGCGGGGATATTCATTCATTCAATACAAAAAAAAAAGCAAGTTCTAAAAAAGATTTATACCGGGATAATTTAATTGAAATCAAGAATAAAAAAGTTAGTAAAAATATAAACTTGTACAGGGCTTGATAGAACCAGAGTCGAATTTTTTGAAATATAGGTTCGGTTCGTAATTCAAAAAGAAAACATAAAAACTTCTGTTTAGATTAAGGAATTGAGTTTTTTAAAGGTTCGGTTCAGGTTTAAAAACCTTTAAATAAAGATTCAATAATGATTATTTTTTATACAGAACCCATATATATATTCAATAAATATTTGCAATCTAATTTTATGATGAATATGGAGGAATATGAAGAATAAAACACATATTCTCAATTTACAACATATAATTATAAAATCATTTAATCCATTTTTTTCCAATCTTGTTCTCCTTGGTGATTGAATATATTTCAATCCTGGAAATGCTCTTACGATCAAAACCTATATAAATGGAACAGACATGGCTATTATCGCTAATAGATAAATCTCGAGTTACTTTAATTCTTATTTTCCAATATGCATTAATATCGGTGTATTTATTCCGTTCGATGCCATTTAGAAGAATTTATAATGGTACCTATTAATCGCCTTTGTTTTTTATTGTGTGATTATTTTTTACTTTTGTTATTTTCTTACATTTGCAATAAGTATTCAAAATCTTCTTTGGGGTAAGGATATTTATTTTGACTAGAATACCATGATCAAATGTCTCAACTACTTGCCAAATTTGTGTAAAATGTTTTCCAGTCCTGTTATATTCGCCACATGATAATGATATTTGATACAACCAGAATGCTTCATTTTTTACTTTACCTCCCATGATCTTATGTATAAAATAAATTGGCAATGTAATATAGAGTTTCTTTATTTCAATCCTGCATTTTAAGAGAGATTAAACATATCACCTTATATTCGTGCATTTGCTATACTTTTTATAATTATTAACTATTAGTAATATAATATAAAGTAAAAATACATACAGTTGTTGTGCATGTTATGAAAAATATCCATATTTTTTTTATTTGCAAATAAAATTATTTAACTTGCAAAATGTTAAAATAACATATTTATATTTTTAACAATTTTTGCTAGTAAATTAGAAAATAAGAAAATATTTTTCATCAAATCTGCACAACACTCTAATATTTCTTAAAAATTATATTCTCAAAAAAATGGCATGATAAGATGATTAACAATATTAGATAAATGTAATTTTTAAATTACTTTAGAAATCTGCAATGCTGGGGCTGGGCCGACGTCTGAATAAAGTTCATTTGGACAGGGTTGGGCAAAGAAATTAGCGGCCCAGGCTAGCCGGCTCGCTTAATAAAGAATTGAAAAAAATTATTTTAAATCCTAATTTTGTTAAAATAATATTTTTTATTTTGCCTATAATTTTAATCATTAAATGACTTGCTACCATGATCATTCATTCATAAATACAATTTATATTTCCTTCCTACATTTTTTGATTATTGCTATATGAAAATCATGAAACTTATATCCTCATCATTATTAGTTATTTTTCCATAAAATATATTTATGAATTTAAAAAAACCCGGGCAAGGCCTTATTGAAAAATTGGAACAGAGCCGAGCCTCAAAATTTTGCAATAGAAACTTATAAAGGTTTAAAAAGGTTCGGTTAACTTCTTTAATTTCTTTAAATGGTCATTAAAAAATACCAAATTATATAGGCTTGGTTCGACACTCTGAAGCGAACATTTGAAAAGATTTGTAATGATCCCTTTAACCCATAGTAAACTATCTAATAGACATTCTATTTGGTCTTATTTGAAGGAAATATATAATGGATACAAAAAATTTGGAGATGCCATTCTGCTCGATACAATTCTTATATTTATAGGAATTGCTGAAATTGTATAAGATCTGCAAAGAAAATTAAACAAATATAGATAATGGAAAATTTTTTAGTTCAAATATAAAAAGAACCGCACAAGGATTATTCGCGATTTTACATCCTATTAAAAAACACTAGATATATAAAGAATGGAAGAAGTTGGAGTAAACCTTTAATAAGACACTATTGAATTGAATGACAAACAAGTTTTTAAAAGAAAATATATAAACGGGTAATAATATTTTTTACTAAAAATGATTGAGTTTTCTAAGTTATACCAAACAAACTTATCTAAATGCAAATAGTTTTTAATGGTTAAATATCAAATAATCTATGGTGAGTTTTCCAAGTTAAATCGATTAATATAAGGTAATTAAAATATTCAACGTACACATTCTTCCTTAGCTTTTGCTGAATGTGTATTTTCATTTTTCTTGTATAAACTCAGAATAATGAGAACTAAGAAAGTTGGAAAATTTGTTTTAAACATTTTAAATATTTAATATATTAGTTTATTCAAATTTGCATTCATTTTTTTTGGTACACTTATAGAAATGGAAATTTCCCGAGTAAATAAAGAGAATACTGGAAAATTAAAAATATCGCTTAAATTTAAGTAATTTAAAAATAAAATTTCTTATATATATAAATTAACTAACAACATCATTAATGACCAAAGTTAAAGCCATTAAATTTAGCATGATTACATCACTCGCCTACGTTCACCTGTATATTATTTATATTTATTCTAAAAAAATTATGTTAATTTAAAAAATAATATTTTGCTCAGGACTAAGTCCAACTGGTTAGTAACCTTATAAATATTAATAACGCATTAATAAATTATAAATTAATATTATATGTTATTAATTTTGTTGTTATAGTTGATTATTCAAACTCTTATTTTTATATAACTTTTTATAACTAAAAATAATATTTCTACCATTTTATTTTATAAAACTTAAGTTCATTTTTATTTTTGTATTCAAATATATATCATTTTTATTTATTTTTATCATTTTTTATATAAAAGTGAAGTAGGAAAAGGGGATAGAGAGCAGTGACTCGAACCTTTTTATAACGGTTCAGTATGTAAAAATATAATGGTTACGGTTCGTTTACGGTTCTTATAAAAAATTTATAAAGTTTTGGTTCGGTTCAGCTAATTGTTAAGGTTTATAAAGGTTCATTACGGTTTGAAAATTATTGTTATTGAAACAAAACCATTGTATAATGATTTTAATTATGAATATTTATTAATTAAAATTTTTGCCATCACTTAGGTTAATATATTGTTGAAAATAATTTATTTTTATTATAAGTATCTATGAATAATATATAAAATATACAAGAATCATAACTCATTTTTAAATATATTATTCGAACGTATAAGTAATATATTTTCTAATATAAGTGAATTCGTTTATGACGCTAACACAAATTACTTATGTTGTAAAAACCGCATGTACTATAAGAGCAGTTTATATAATTCTGGATATTTAAATTTTTTAATCCCAATATATAAAAACTGATGATTTTTTAGATTCAATAAATAATTCAAAAATTTATAAGAAATGAAAGAAAAAATACGAGGTCAAAGCAGACAAATATTTTAAAATTAATATTAATAAACTAATTAAATTCATCATCAGATTTAAAAGCCACATCATATTAATATTATTGGAAGAATTTATTTTCCCTCAAACCTAAAAAATAATAAAATAAACAGATTAGAACAATTTGTAATTACAAACTTACTTTTTAAGACAACACAAAATCTATATTTTATAATAAAGGCTATAACTGCTAATGCTATAAAATATACTTAAATGCCAAAATTCTATAAATAAGTTATAAAATTAAAACCTTATAAATTTGGTCATTTTGAAATTTATATGGGAATAATGACACTTCTATCAAACTACTCATGGATAGTTGTGATATTATTCTTAAATTAATTAAATAAATGCAACTAAATCAAAATTTACAAATTGGCTAGATATTTTGCATACTAAATTAGAGAAAATAGGAATGCTCTAATACTATATGAAGCAGGTAATTATGAATCTTAAGTCATAGTAAAAAATTAATACTAACTTATAAATATTAGATAAATATTTAGATCATTTAATAACTATAAATAACAACTCAAATATGGAAAATTATGTAATACACCACAAGGAAAAGAATGTAAAATTATTTATTTTATTTTGGTTGAAACCGGTTCAAACCGGTTTAACTTTTTTATAAAGGTTCTTTTTACTCCTTCAAAAATAATTATGTCGGTTCGGTTACTGTTCAAATATTTATATTTATAATGGTTTAACGTTTCATTCAGGGTCTCTGATAGAGAGACATAATAAAATATTTAATATTGACGAGAAAAACGATTTATTTTAGAATAAATTATATGGTATGGGAATATATTAACGCCAAAGTGTAAGGAATATATATGTTATTAAATATTTAGCTAGGTTAAAATATTAAAACTTTATCATTCAAATAAAGAATAATAATATTAAGATTAATAAAGACAACAACTCAACATTCCCTCTCTTCTTTTTAAGTTGTTCTTCGCTTTGATTTAGATTGAGATTTGTATCGTCTTTTTATATCGTTTACTTGTCCTAATCCGGGGTTCGAACCCGATAAAAAATTAACCGGATTCTGTTCAAAGTAAAAAATTTAACTCAGTTTGGGTTCAGGGGAATATTTTTGAACCCGGGTTTGTTACTGGTTTACGAATATTTGAATTTTATACAAAATAATTTATTTATATATTTAACTTAGTTTAACTAGATATAAATTTGGTTTAAAATTATTTTATAAGTTAAATGTATTTAAAAATACAAAAATTAGTCATGTATAAATTTTAAAAAATATTTAGACATATTAGCATGATATTTTCCAGGAGTTGTTCGCTCATCTTAATCTTTGCGGGGCGGGGAAAGAATGAGTATCAAATGTGAAAAAGATTTTTCAACGCTAACCTATATTAAATATATTTATATGAATTATAAATTAGCTTGGGTTGCTGGAACAGCAAATATGATTTTAGATAAAATATATAAATTAGGGTGCTGCAGCTTAGCAGACTCCAGAAATTCAAAATATTTTCCTTCTTATCCAATCTTTTAAAATCGCCAAATCCAGTAATTATCGTTCTAAGACTTTTCTCTGCAATCGTTGATGTGCAATAACTTCACCCGAACTATTATCATCAGACAAAATGAGCGTGGATATGGTTTTAATCCTCCCCTATCAATTTTAGCTATTATCTCGTTTTTTATTTTTAATTCTTCTATTTCATTACCTATAATAAAATAATTCATTTAATGTGATATTATCTTTTAAAGCTATTTTTCTTATAATATCCTTATAAGAAGATATTTTGACATTTTTTACAATCCTTGCCTAATTTGCATATACGACTTACCCAATTACAATAAGTTTTTTTTCCTGAACAGCTGCGTTGAATTCGATAAGTTTAGAAATCAGATCTCTCAGGATGTAATAAATATTTTTCAATAAGAATTTTAGTTTTTGTGAATTTGGACTAATTTCGTGTTCATCTAATCTTGAAACAAATAAGCTAGCTTTCTCGACGTCAGTTATTTGAATGTCTTTAAAAATATTTTCGACTTTATTTATAAAGACCTTGAAATTACCTGTTAATTTTGGAAAATCAACGACAAAATTATTATTAATAATTGGTTTTATTTCTTTATTTATTTTATTTATTACAAAAACGCAAGTATACAAACATAAACAATTTTAAAATTCCGTTCAAAACGTTTAGCATTTATAATAAACCAACCACCAAGTTCGCTGAGACACTGTCTGCCGTGTAATTGATGATATTCATTCATCTCTTCTATATCGAAATAAAACTAATAGTTTTCATTCCTACTGATCGTTTCTTGTATCCAAACTGGTATCTCGAGTACAGGTCTATTATTGGTCGACATATGTATAGAGATGTGGAAAAGGGAGATAGAGACACATAATAAAATATTTTATATTGACGATGAAAACAATTTATTTCAGAATAAATTATATGGCGACATCTTAATGCTACCATATAATGAATATATATCAGAGACCTGCAGGCCCTAAGCCTATCCGGGCCGGGTCGTATTTTAAATTTTTTAAATATACCCGGGCCGGGCCTAAAAAAATTTTTTTTAACATATCCGGGCCAGGCCGGGCCTAAAAATATTTTTTTAAATATATCCGGGCCAGGCCGGGCCTAAATTTTTTTTTTAAAATATATCCGGGCCGGGCCTAAGATTGTTAAACCCGGGCCGGGCCTTAATATTTTTTATAAAAATTTTTATATTATGAGTTAATGGTTATATGATTATATTATATTATAGTTATGATTATATTATATTATAGTTATGATTATATTATATTATAGTTATGATTAATATAATATTGGGTGATGGTTAACACTACCTAACACCCACAGATCGATCTAATTATTAGTTTCCTGCAAATTTATTCAAAGTATTAATATATTTTTTTATAATTCATATCTAAATTTTTACAACATATTTTACCAAAACAATCAAATAAAGGAATATCTTAAATAAGCCCCAATATTCAAGTATTATTAATATATTTTTTTATAATTCATATCTAAATTTTTAGAATATATTTTACCAAAACAATCAAATAAAGGAATATCACTTCTTGAAGTTTGTAATACCTTTCAAAGCGAAAAAGGAGAAATAAAATTGATTTTACTTAATATAAAGCATTTTTTAATTGAAAAATTTGTTTTACACAAGTATCATTTTATTTCTCTTTTTCTCTGTCCCAAATTCAAGCAATTACGTATGTTGTCAGGGACAGATCGCAAGATGACGGAAAACTAAGATTATATTAAATTACAAAAGGCTCAGGAAGTAAATGAAATACCATCGACCAGTCAAATTACGACTGTTGTTAAACAAACTGAATCGTTTTATGATAAATGGGGCGATGGTAATTCTGGTAATATGTCAATACCCGATGATGAATATTATAATTACATAAATAAAAAAATAGATGAAACATTTAAGGTGTAATTTGTTAGAGTGGTGGGCGGCTCATCAAAGCGAATTTCCAATTTTAGCAAAATTGGCAATTCCTGCTTCAAGTGCAAGCTGTGAGCCGAATTTTTCCACTACTGGGAGAATTCTTGAAGAAAGAAGAAGTAATCTTCAACCTGAAAAGGTAGATATGCTTCTCTTTCTTCATGATAATTTGTAGAATTTTTAATATCTTTCTTGAGTATAGGGTTTCGTCAATCATGCTGGTTTTTACTTTGCAAACTGTAAAATATTTATTGCATTTATTATATTTACCTTGAGTCATGAAAGTTTTTAATCTAACATTTTTCATTATTTTTTTTTCCAATAATATATAATACAATTATCTTCTTTTATTAAAAATTTATATTATAAAATAAATTATATTAATATTGTGCAATTAGATTATATTTTTAAAATACTATTTATTATACATGCATTTTTTTAAATAGCGATTTATTTTTATTTTATAAATTAAATAGTAAATTAAATACAATATATTATATTCTCAAAATATTTTCCATTTTTATAAATTAAATATTAGTTTTATTTTTTTTAAATGCTAAAATATAGTATATGCTCAAAATGTTATTACCATTTTTATGAATATTAGTTTTATTTTTATATGCAATATAAAATATAGTATATGTTCAAAATATCCATTTTTATAAATAACAGTTTTATAATTTTTATAAATTCAATATAATATTCTCAAAATATTAGCTTTTTTCATGTATTTTTTAAATAATAAGCGATAATACTCGCTGAAAAATATGGTAAAATACCTCATAGGTGAATTTTTGTATATACCAGGTCGAATATAATTTTAAAAAATTCCAAGCCGGGCCTGAAATTTTTAAATCCGGGCCGGGCTGTAAAAAATTTTTTTTAAAAATATCCGGGCCGGGCCTAAAAAATTTGAAACCGGGCCGGGCCGTGCAAATGGTGCCTCTGCAGGTCTCTGATATATATGTTTTATACTATAAAATGTTTTACAATATGATTATATTATTTAATACGTTCTTATATTTTTAATTTTAATTGTATCAAATATATAGTGTTACATATTTTTTGTAGAATTAACTTTAAAAACATACAAGAAAATTAATTACTACTACAAGCTTACTTAAAATTCAACAATTATTTGAAAATAAAGACAAAAATCTTATAATTTTTTTCAAATAAACTAAGTTTTTTTTTGGATTATGTTTTATTTAAAAAAACTTTGTCGGATGTAGAGATCTGAAAATCATGGCCCTGCCCGAACGGATTTCTGGCCGGGCCGGGTCAATTTTAAATAATAATTTTTGGCTTGGGCTGGGTCGGGTCAAATATTTTTTTTTTAAATTTCGGGGCGCTAACATTTTTTATTTGTTGAATATTTTTTTACAGTCATAAAGGATATAATTTTTCTCTATATAAATTCAGGCTTGGCCGGGCGGGCAAATTATTTTTATTTCTGGTCGAGCTTTTCGGGACAAATAAAAAAATTCGTTCATGATCAGGCCGGCTTGAAAAATTAATTAGTACATCTCTGGTAACTAGTTACCCTTTTAAGGATCACTAAACATACCTATGACACCTTAAATTTTCTTTAAATTTTTTTAAAAGTTAAAATTGTCCCTGAATTTTATATCATTTACTTACTTAATGGTATTTTTGTAAAGTCAAATTTTTTTTTAGATATTTTTAATTTAGAATAAATAAAATTAATTAAATATACCTTGACATGGGCGGATTGAACTAAAAATGTATAAAGATATTTTTCGACTACACTCACTCAACAATAAAACCCTCAATTTTTTCCTTAATCAGGTATTCCCTCCTGTGATAAAAACTCATCGAAGGTATCACTCTGAACCTTATTTCGACTTTTCATCCGAACCTGAGGCTTGCGACGATTCTGATTCCCGCCGAAATTGTAAATAATATTTAGTTTTAAATTTTGTTTTTACAAATTAACCCACTCCTACAGGGAACCACTTAAAATAAAAAATTTGCATATATCGGGATTTCTTTTGTTTTCAGCAAACTCTAGTCAATCTAGACAAGAATCCGTGAAATTGCAACCCTCATTCTCATTTGTGGTAAAATCTCACGCTAACGATACTCTATTAGAGGCCGACAGATTTAGCAATTTTACATTTTGGAGATCCCCTCTACCCGCTTTGACTGAACCTATAGAAAATGAAGAGTTTTTAGATGTCATCGATTCTGAAAGCGTAATTTTTTTTATTTGATATATATATTAATATTTCAACCCTGCTCCAACCTGGTCGGTTGATCACATTCTTTTAGGCTCAATCAGGCCTTGATTTTTTAGCATTTCTGTTTGGAATTGACATAATTGGGTCTAACCTCAACCAAAATATGATTTTATTTTTATGCATACAAATAATTCTTTTATTTAAAATTTTTTCTTTGTCGTAATTTGTTACTATTTTCTTCGGATAATATCATCGACAAAAAACTCTTGCCTGACCTGGAAAAGATCTCATATAGAGTAATCAGAGTTGGAACCTTCCAAACCGAGGCATTTTCAGATACCTATTCCGTAATCAATTCTAACATAAGTGGTAATTTATATATGTTAACGTCAGTGTGTTATTTACGGTAATGAGGTGGGCAGAGTTTGTTACCTTGGCAATGTATTGCATAACCAGTCAATGTGTACATTACTGGAATAAAAAAGTCCAATTGTTTTATTATTTTATATTATAAATTTTTATTTATGTAATTATTTATTTTTATAATTTATATTATAATGAGTTTTTTATAATTGTAAACTTTTGATAAATATTTTTCTAAATGATTTATTTTACAATATATTTTTAGTTGAATTCTATATCAAAACTACTGAAGATTCAACCCGACCCCATTCGATTTTTTTAAAAAATATGATGATCTAGATAATAAAAGTATAAAATTTTAATTTCCAACTTGGCTTACTTCCTGAGATATAGCCATCTTTAAAAACGCAATTACAAATTAAACTTCATTCATTAATTTTAAATATCTCAAAAACTATTTAAGCTAAAGCCAGCTATGATATAAATTTTATTTTATAACTCTAATATTAACCCTTTAATATGACATAAAATTTAATTTATGAAAATTAGCCTATTACCAAGAACTGAAAATAGCCATAAAAAGATATTAGCATTTTTTTATATTATACTTCCTCTTATATTTTGTGATTTCCAAAATCAACAAAAAAGCACGATTTTTAACCCGACATCCACAAATATTTTTCGAAAATATTTATAAGAGCATATATATTATAACTAGAATTAAAAAAAATCTAGCCTCCAACTCAAACAGCTTCTGAAATATGGACCTCTAAAGGAAAAAATGTAGCATTTTGGACAGAATGCACTCCTCCCTTTAATTTTAGATATCTTTGGTTATAATTAAACTAGGAGCTTCATTTAAATTTCTTTATATAGCTTAGTAACATAATTTTAAATATTATTTTATTAAATATAAAATATTCAATAAATGTAATTTAAGTCAAAAGCTATCAAATATTTTATGTTAATAATTTAAAAGAATAGTTATTTAAGATCTAAAAAGTTTTTTATTTTTTAAAGGGGGGAGGGGGGGGGGGGCTTTAGTTAATTTATTTGTTGAATTTAATTTCTCTCCTCATAAAAATAACTACGAAATAGAAAATACAAATGTAAATTGAATAATTTTCATAATATGATTATAATTTAACTTTAATTCAATTATCCTTAAGAGGCATGAAACTTTTATATTCCTGGAATGAGTTTATTTGGCATCATATTCATCATCTATAAATCTAAGGTGTTTAATATTTGATTTTCATATAGACGCTAAGAGCTAGCTCTTGCTATTAACCTTTTGTAATATTTAACATGAGCTGTTATACGAAGAAATTCCATTTTGCTTTGATTCCAAAATCAAGTTCATGATGGCTTAGATTATGAATTTTTTTAAAAAAATTAAGTTACTATATCATCAGAAAAAAACATATTTTATATATTTTGTTAAGAAAACCAATCTTTTAGTTTAGGCTGCACATGCATTGTGTTTTAAACATAATTTAGTTATTTACATGATACCATAAAAGGATGGCTAGTCTGGTTATTATTCCAATGAAATCCCTGAACGTGGTCTAAAAACATAATTTTCCGAATAAACACTTTATTTTAATGGGCTGTTTGTTGCTAAAATATAAAGGAATGTGGGATATAGCTCCGATTCGGTATATATTCTTTAAATAATAACCGTTAATACCGATCTAAGGATTCGATCTAGGTTCATTCCTGATATATTTATTAGAATGCAAGATAATATTAAAGTAAAACCTAGATATGAAGTACTAATATTGGAATCCAATGAAAAATTATTAAAAAGATATCCAATAAATACAATAATTTATTATGATGCTGATAATATTATAAAAGGTGACTTATCAGATCATTATTTTTGATATATTTTCAAATTTCGCATAAATTTTTTGTACTCTTTAATTGTCCCAAGATTCCATATAATATCATTCTCTAAGATAATTCTCTATAAAATATTTCGCTACAAAATTATTATCTATAAAAGGATTTTCTATAAAATAATTCTCTGTATACGATATTCTCAATCTTTAAAACATATTACCAAGAAAAATTACGGTTATACATTACGTTAACATATATATATAGTTTAAATTTTGTAATTCATTTTAAGGGGTTTGTTTTAGAATTTAGAATCAGATTCTAGTTTTTTATTGTTTAACTTTTTAGTTGCTATAAGAAGGTTTAGAACCAGAACATGTAACAGCGTCAAATTTAAAAACGGGAACCAGAACCACTTTTTAAAAAATATTTAGAACGGAAACTAGAACCTCATTTTAGTTCAGGTTCTAAACTTCAGCTTTTATTGTATGTAGCGAATATATGTTATTCTGCATAACATACAATAAAGCCTATAGAATTCTTTAAATTTGATTTATAGATTAGATTTTTATTTTCACTTTAAAAAACACCTCCGGAACAGAATCTTATCACTCCAATGACCACCGCTAAAACGGGAGAAAATTAGGCCACGAATCAATTTTGACCACATATTTGTCAAATACCTGATCTTTTTTTATATTTAAATTGTTTTTGTATTGTTACTATTCATGTGCTAATTTTATAAATGTGAATTTAAGAATATAATTGAAACATAAAAATTGGTTGGTTTTTTGTTGTTACTTTTTTTATTAAATTATCAAAGTTCTATCGTATAGCTATTTGATAAATTGTTTTAATAGGAATCTGTATAAATAATAATAGATAAATCTTAATATAAATTTTCCATTTCAATTATCGATATCCATTTTATTAACTTTATTATTAAATAGCATTTTCTAAAATTTGCAACATAATTGAACTCTTCGAAAATTTAGCGTATAATTTTTTAGAAATATTTATTGTCAGATCCGATTTTAAATAAATATCTGATAATCGGTCAAGCATTTGTGCAAATGAAAATAATTGATTTTTGATTAATCGGAGGTTGATTGATACCAACTTTTTTTATCTAAAATAAATTTTTTTTAATTTTAAAAAATAATCATAATACCCTAAAAATTCACTTATTATACAAGATTGTCAAGATGCTATTTTTCATAATATCTCAAAAAGTTTTGTAAGGCAATTATAAATCGAAAATAATCTTAAAAATGAATATTTTTATTTTCAAATATTATTTTCATATTGAGACTGTTAAATATAATTCACTAACATATTTTATCGAAATAGTAGATTCTGAACTTATCAAAATAAGCTAAACTGATTTATTTACTCATTATATTCTAATTAAAATTTTCTATGCAAACATATTCTTGGTTGGCTCAGCCAGCTTTTAGAAATTTTTGGACAAATTCTAGCCCCGGCTAGTTAAATTTGGCAGGCCTGGCCCGTTATAAAAAAATACGTAAAGTTCGCCCCGGCCCGTTAAATTTTTTTGTACGAATTTTCCGGCCATCACATTTTTAATATCTATATTTAATTTTTTTTCAGTCTCAATATGGCTTATGTAATTATTTAATTTTTAACGCGCTACATTTTTTGAAAGTAGCTAAGTAGCCGCTACTTCGCTACTAAAAAATATAATGAAGGTAAGTATAAACATGAAAATTTAAATATAATTTCAATTTGTAATTTATATTTTCATTTGTTTTATAAACCTAAATCACGTGTTAATAATTTAAAATGTCATCGCATATGGAAATCCAAATCGTTGAAAGTGATTCAGAAAATGATTTTAATGAAATGGAAGATACCAGGTAAGAAAATGTTCTTAATAGCTATAATACAAATTTCCCATTCCCTAGATTTGAAAATTTTTTTAAATAAATATATAACCAAAACTGGTTTCAAATTTATTTGTTTAAAATCTTAAAAAAAATATTTCCTCAAAGCAATCATAATCTATAACCTCAAGAAACACCTAAAGGTAAATCGACATTTTTACATTCTAATAATATTTATTTTATAAGACTGTTCATGAGTTTTAAGGAAATGGAGAAACATCTAAATAATTTTGGTATAGGCCACTCTACATCCAAAAAGACTAATTCAATTCAAACCAAATTAATTAATAATACAAATGACAATATTTCTCAGAAATTGGCTGATAAAGTTATTGTTGATTTTATCATTTATACTATACTGTTCAGCCAATGTCCTTAGTTGATAATCCATCATTTACCATGATGATTAAAACTATCCCCTGGTACAACAATTATATGCCACCAGACACTAATGAATAAAATAGCATATAACTTTAAAATGATGAAAGATGCTCTAATAGTAGAGTTATCAGAGATATCATATATATGTACCACGGGAGATAGTTGGACACATAACAGAAGGTAAAAACTTTTTATATTTATAAATTGATCTGATTATATATTTTTAAGCTTATTTGGGAATCACAGGCCATTGACTAAACCCTGGGACTTTAAAAAGAATATCTGTGGCATTAGCCCTCAAAATGATAGGATGCCAGACATACGATGTACTTGCAAATAAAATTATTGAAATCTATCTTATATTAAAAATATGTATATAAGATTAAATACGCCAAGTGCTAGTGTCGATAGATTATTTAGTAAGGCAAAACTTATACTTTCTGATCGTCGTTCTAGACTTGGGGATGATAATATTGAAATGATTTTATTATTAAAATGCAACAAATTACCATAAATATTTATTTT